TTTTGGGAGTTGGAAGAGTAACTTACGGCAACCCTAAAGGGCAGTCCAGTGTCGAAATTACGGGGGCCTCTTTTAAATAGGGGCTGGTGTTTGAACTTGGGCTTTGCTAATGTTACGGAATTGGCAGGGGGGGCACTTGTGGGAGAGCAGGTTTCTTTGGCCGTCTCCCCCTTCCTTGCTTGCCCCTTCTGCGTTCCCATGGCAAGTCCAGCCGAATTCGACTATGGCGTGTGCTGCATATCTCCGCCTTCAGACGGAGGGAGCCAGGCAGCTTCTCGGGTTGTGTGCCCAACTTTTCATTGAGCCTGATATTAAATTACCCAAAAGACCTACAGCTGTTTGTTACAAGGTGGGGCCGATTTGCGGGTAGGTTTATGTATTAACTCTTTTCCATGCTCATTTCTGATGCTCCAGAAGCAGGTGACCCTTTCTCTACGACCTTCCTAATGACATTCTCAGTCTGACACACAGTATTTACAAAGAAACACAAAAAACCCTTTACATAACTCCCTTTCTAAAATACACTGAGACCATCTTATAACATATCCCTGCTATAACACACAAGTTCTAATTAAATCCTAATATTTACTATGCCTAAACATTGAGCACCACAGACTAATAATAATAATAATAATAATAATAATAATAATAATTACTACTAATTATACCCTGCCCATATAGCTGAGTTTCCCCAGCCACTCTGGGCGGCTCCCAACCGAGTGTTAAAAACAATACAGCAATAAATATTAACAACTTCTCTAAACAGGGCTGCCTTCAGATGTCTTTTAAAAATGGGATAGCTGCTTAATTCCTTGACATCTGATGGGAGGGCATTCCACTGGGCAAGCGCAACTACCCAGAAGGCCTTCTGTCTGGTTTCCTGTAACCTCACTTTTTGCAATGAGGGAACTGCAAGAAGGCCCTCGGCGCTGGATCTGTGTCCAGGTTGAACGATGGGAGTGGAGACGCTCCTTCAGGTATACAGGACTGAGGCCGTTTAGGGCTTGAAAGGTCAGCACCGACACTTTGAATTGTGCACAGAAATGTTCTCAAATATTCCTCTGCAGCAAGGGAGGCAAATGGAAGCCTTCCCATTGTCTTTGTGCTTACAAATACTGCCTTAAGGAGGGATGAACAGGATGGGCCTGTGACCTGGATTCAGGAACTAAAGTATTTACCATCACAAAAGAATGGCCAGGCTGCCCAGGTAATGCAGTTAGTGACCATTAACAGGTATCCTTGGGGACAGGTTTTCTGCTGTAGACCGCCTCCTGTGATGTATTCCTGCTGTAGACAGTCTCCTTCTGTATGATATTTGGGGGGGTGGTCTTGGGTGGGCAATTTCAAAAGACTATTTAAGGCCTTGCACACCTCCCTCCTGGTTGTGGTGAGGGGGGGGACACTGTTGCAATAAAGATCAGGCTTACTAGCCGCTTTGCTTCGCCATATACTCTGGTTGGCCTCTGTTATTTTCTCCTACCTACAGTATTTTTCGCGCCATAAGGCACACCTGATCATAAGGCGCACCTGATCATAAGGCGCACCTAGTTTCTAGAGGGGGAATTCAAGAAAAAAATATTATTTAAAGGGAGCGCTGAGCAGAGCTCCCCGGTGCCCTGCGGAGGCGTTGCGCCACTAAGGCAGAAGCTAAAACAGCTAGAGGGAGTGCTGCGCAGCGCTCTCTCTAGCTGTTCTGGCTTCTGAGGTAGCCTGCGAAGCCTCCGCAGGGCAGCAACGAGCCTACATCCCGGGCTTCCCCCGCCAGCCCTGACAAGCTCTGGGAGTATTCCCCACCTCCCGCAAAAGCCCACAGGTGCTACGACCCTTTAAGGAGCGTGCGGCTCCTGCGAGCTTTTTTACGAGGTGGGAGAAGGGACTGACGTAGCCAGTCAGTCCCTTCTCCCTCCTCAGGGAAAAGCCCCCAAGAGCTCTTCAAAGAGCGCGCGGCTTCTGCGGGAGGTGGGGGAATTCTGTAAGATTATTTGGGGAAGTTTTTCTAATGAGAAGATATTGTCACAGATGCTTGTTTTTGCCATTCTCAAAAGTGTGAATTTTGTCTGCAGAGATAACATGCCTTTTCTTCACAGGAGAAATGTTATAAAATAAACATACAGAGTTGAGAGGAAACCTTAATCCCATTGTTCCTTTGCAAATTCATATATACAGAATCAACCCCTTAAATTCTAAGTTCCAAGAGGTTCAATGAACAGATGGTTTGCAGTGGAAGAGATCTGCACAAGTAGCTAAGTGTGAAGCAGTAAAAATGAAAGTGCAGCCTTGTGAGCAGAATACTCCACACATCTTGGGGTCTTTGTGTAATAATTGTGCAAGTAAGACTTGAGGCAAGCGCTGAAGGCTCTTCAGGGCTGGCAACCTCTTCCCAATCCCACTGGGTTCCAACAGCCGCACTAACACTTAACTGTACAGAATAGGCACCTGGATGCAGAAGCCAATCCAAAGGGGTGGCTGGTAGTGGAGGTGGTGAAATCCACAAGTTCCGAGTTTTTCATGTGCGCTAAAACTCAGTCTGCTTGGTTGTTGTTTTTGATATAAAAAAATATTTTTACCAACATGCTATAATATTATTGTTTTAGTTAAATAAATCGTTTAAGTTGTTATTAAGGAAATGATTATTTTTCTCCTTCCAATAAATTACAGCAGAACTGTTGTCCAAATATAGACAGTTAACTTATTAAACCTCAGAATGATTTCATAATTATCTGTCTGTGTATTTCTAATAGTGTAACCAAATCAGAAATTTTTGATTTAAATAGAATCATACTGACTAGTGATTTACTGTAAATTGTGATTGAAATCAATTTGATTTATATCAAACCCACCCTGATTGCAATCTACCACAAGGTCTGAAATAAGGCTGGAACTATACAGAGGCGAACAGGACAATGTCCTGGCAGCTGCTACTACTTAGGGGTCTAAAACGGATAAATGAAAATATTATCAATCCTCACACACTCAGTTTCATCAGCAGGGAAGCCAAGATGCATCCTAGCAGGACTTTTGGGTTTGGGCTAGGCTATAATTGGTGGTATTCAGGACAAATCAAAGTATGGAGATAAGTCGTAGTGAATACAGATGATCTGGGACAGCCAACACCCTCAGCAGGGAGGCTGGGTGATGGGGGGGGGGTCAGGGGTGCTGGAAGGGGAGGGGTCTCTGTCGAGGCTCTTCTCCCTTCCATGGACTCCCTCTCTCCGTTTCCCAAGCCAAAAGGGACCCAGCCAGGCGCCCCACGACCCCAGGGATTCCTGGGGACAAACTGCTAAAATCAGCAGTGATACACTGGGTCAGAAATATAGGTCATGATTAGAGCTGGGTGATATATTGGTATATTGCCCAAGACTGGCTTGAAGTTTACATCGTGATAACTGTTTCCTAATACTGAGCTGGCAATATATTACGAATCACAATGTGTGCAAGGGCTAGGCAACACCTGCTTTTCAACATTGCGATAACTTACCAGCTAAACGCTGTAATGTTAGTAGCAGCTAAACCTCACAATATCACCTGCTAAATATTGCAGGGCTATTAGCAGATAAAGATTGTAATGTTATCATTACCAAACCTCACAATATCACTTGTGGTTTATTACCAGCTAAACCTCACAATATCACCTGCTAAACGTTGCCATGTTATCAGCAGCTAAACATTTAAATCAGCCACAAGGTCTGAAATAGGGGTGGAACTGTGCAGAGGAGAGCAGCACAATGTCCTTGCAATTGCTACTACTTAGGGGTCTAAAACGGATAAATGACAATATTATCAATCATCATCTCAGTGGGACTTTTGGGTTTGGGCTTGGCTAGCAAATGGTGGTATTCAGGACAATCCTGTATGGCAATGATGATCTGGGACTGCCAGCAGGGAGACTGGGGAATAAGATGTGATGGATGGGGAGGGGTCTCTGTCGAGGCTCCTCCCCCTTCCATTAACCCTTCCCTGGACTCCCTCTCTCCCTTTCCCCAGCCAGGCGACCCCAGGGAGAATGGGGGGCCTCAGCCCCACCCCCTGCTTGGGGTCCTCCTTCCCCTTCCCGCCAGGGCAGCTGAGCATCTCTCGGCCCCCCAGGAAGGAGAAAGGGGAGTCTGGCGGTGCTGCTGCTGCCCAGGAGATCTTGCAAGGTGTAGATCCCTGCAGGTGTTGGGTCCCCCCTTCCCCCCTGGATCGGGGCCCCTGTCGACGGGCCCCAGGGAGGGCGCTTTCCTTACGGGGGGGTCTCTTCGTCCTCCCCTCTTACCCCCCCTCCTCTATTTTCCTCTTTACCTCTTGGTCCTCCGCCTCCCTGGCTCCAGATTAGTCCGCTTTCCTTGTCTGCAATAGAAAGGGCTGGGGGGGGGTTCTCCACTGACGCCCCTCCTCCCCTTTCCTGGAAACTTCCGGCGCATTTCAGCAGCGACACTTCCGGTTCCTTTTGGGATGCTCTTGCCCCTAGAGCTACATCGACAGAGCAGCCCCTCCCTGTGTTGGGATGGGAAGAGGACGGGACGGCGCTGCCTCGGGGGCTCCATGGGGACATGGCCCCCCTCCTTCCTCCTCCCCACAGCAGGGGGCGAGATGGCTGCGGGGGGGGCATCATATCTGGGGGTGACCTGGGTTTGCGGGGAGAGAAGGAGGTGGTTCTCAATCTGCAAACCGGGAGGCTGGGAGGGGAGAGGCTGAGTGAGAAGGAGGGAAGGGCTGCCCCTCCCCCTGTGGGTCAGGAGAGTGGGGGAGGGGCTGAGCCAGGGAAGCCAAAGGGGGTCCCTCCCCCCCAGCCCAGGGGGGGGTCCTCTGTGAAGCCCAGAGATGGACCCAGCCTCGGGGGGTGGGAAGAGACATGGGGCTGCCTGAGAGAGAAGGGGCGCTTCCCTTCCTCTCCCCCCTCCTCCCCACAGGTTCTCCTGCGCCCAGAGACCCCCTTGGCCCGGCAGGGAGAGGGTGGGCTCCCCTTCCGCCATGAGAGGAGGGCAATGGGGTTGTGAGGGGGGGGGAGAGAGAGAGACCCCTTTCTGGGAGAGACCCCTTTCTGCTCCCCTCCCAAGAGGGTCCCCGTCGTGTCTCTGAGGGGCGAGAGAGGAGGAGCCCCTCCCCCCGCTGCTGCTTCCCCTCAACGACTTTTCCTTTTTTTTTTTTAAATAAATTTTTATTAATTTTCCATAAGTAAAAAAGAAAACAAAGCAAAAACATAGATAAAGACAAAAACGACTTCCCCATACCACCCCTTTTCTGCATTCTTGTTTCAAGATTTTTCAGCAACCCTTTCGTATTAAACTTATTTCTATTTCGTAAATTTAACTTCCATAAGATATTAAAACAACTGTAGTTCTTTATCTCTTATTACCCTGATCCTCTAATTTTCCAAATTACAACAGTTTTTAAGATAAACTTTAAATTTGTTCCAGTCTTCATCCACCGCCTCTTTCCCCCGGTCTCGGATTCTGCCAGTCATCTCTGCCAGTCCCATATAATCGATCACCTTCGTCTGCCATTCTTCCAACGTGGGTAGATCTTGTGTCTTCCAATACTTTGCTAGAAGAATTCTTGCTGCTGTTGTAGCATACATAAAAAATGTCCTATCCTTCTTTGGCACCATTTGGCCCACCATACCCAGGAGAGAGGCTTCTGGCTTTTTATTAAAAGTTCTCTTCAGAACTTTTTTAATTTCATTATAGATCATTTCCCAGAAAGCCTTAATCTTCGGGCAGGTCCACCAAAGGTGATAGAAGGTTCCCTCCGTTTCATTACACTTCCAACACTTGTTATTGGGCAGATGATAAATCTTTGCTAACTTAGCCGGAGTCATGTACCACCTGTAGATCATTTTCATAATGTTTTCTCTTAAGGCATTACATGCCGTAAATTTAACACCAGTGGTCCATAACTTCTCCCAGTCAGCAAGCTCAATGTCATGCCCTATATCCTGTGCCCATTTAATCATACTAGATTTCACCATTTCATCTTGAGTATTCCATTTCAACAGCAAGTTGTACATTCTTGACAAGTTTTTAGTATTGGGTTCTAACAGTTCTGTTTCTAGTTTTGACTTCTCCACTTGGAAGCCTTTCTTTCTGTCCTGTTTGAATACTTCATTTATCTGTCGATAATGTAGCCAATCTCTCACCTTAAACTTCAGTTTCTCGAAACTCTGCAATTTTACTTTTTCACCATCTTGTTCTATCATTTCAAAATATTTAGGCCAATTAGAACCCATATTCAATTTTTTCACCTCTTTTGCCTCCAATGGTGACAGCCACCTAGGGGTTCTGCCTTCAAACAAATCTTTATACCTTATCCAGACATTATACAGCGCTTTCCTCACCATGTGGTTCTTAAAGCCTTTATGCACTTTTACCTTGTCATACCATATATATGCATGCCAACCAAATCTGTTATCAAACCCTTCAAGATCCAAAATGTCTGTATTCTCGAGGAGCAGCCAGTCTTTCAACCAGCAAAACGCTGCTGATTCATAGTAAAGTCTTAAGTCCGACTTTTCCCGCCTTTTCCCAACTTCCCGCCCTTCGAAATCTCAGCCTCGCCTCAGTTTCAGGCGCCGAGGAGGCAGATTCCCCGGGCCCCTGCTTTATGAGTGGATTTCTTCTCATTCGCCCTGATTTCTGCTCATATATCTTGCTTTTGGAGCTTCTCTAGAAAGAAGGCTGTATATAAAGCCCCTCACCACCTCCTGCATCCCATACAGTATGTCAAAGTCTGATTTCTTCCCATTTGCTGTGTATAATTCTTCCTCCAGGACTGTTCTTCCTTCCTGGCAATGTCACTTCCAAACTCATAATTCTTCCCTCACTGTCCTTAAATAGCTGCTTGGGGTCTAGTTTGGGGCCTGCATAAAGAACCTCCTCTCTTTTCTCATTTTAGCTGTAGGTATAAATTCATGGCCAAAAGCCTTATTGATACACAATCTTCCATCCGATGCCTGCTTACTCGGAAGTAAGTCCTACTCTGCTCCCATGTGCGGAGCCAGCAGTTCAGGCAGTTCTGCTAGCAGGAGGCCAAAGGACCCAGAGTGGTTTGCAACCAGGTGGTTTCCAAATGCTGCCCTTTTGGATACGTTTCCATTTATTCTTTTGTGTGGGGACTGGCCAGATTGAACCCCACCCCCTTCAAAAGAAAGACTAGCAAAAGATTTCAAAGGCGGAATTTCCAAAAGATGACACTTTGTCCTCAATTTAAGACAAGTCAGTCGAAAAATCATGGGCTTTTTTGGCGTTTATTTGGGGCCTTGTCTAAAAAAAAAAAAAAGCACAACAATTTTGGGCTTGTCCTGGTTTTTACTTTTTGAAATATGGCAACACTAATTATTCTGGGCTCTGCTTGAACTGAAAACTCCCTTTTAGAGCTCAGTCGGTAGAGCATGAGACTCTGAATCTATGGGTTAGGAGTTTGAGCCCCACTTTGGGCTACATGACCCTCGTGGTCCCTTCCAACTCTGCAATTCTAGATCGCCTTCTTGTGGGCAGTGGAGGAATGATGTAATGTTGGTTGGTGGGAACTGTTCTTGAGTGTTGCCTTGTCACTCACATGCAACACCACAACAGTCCTGTGAAAGGAAGGGGGGAGCATTTCTGCAGGCTGATGCCCATCCATCCAGCTGCCCAGGCCCCAGCACCTCCCCCTAAGAGTGAAGGGTCCCAGTCTGGAAATCCTCCCTTCCTGCTGGAGATGAGGCAGTGAGGGACTCCAGACAGACAGAGGCGTCCTTGCTCTGGAATTCCCTTGCCAGCAGGGAGACTTCAAAGCAATTGTGGCTCTTGGGTAGAAATCTGTGATCCAGACATGGCCTAGTGAATCACACCTTGTTTCAACATCCATCTAACATAAGGAGAAGAAAATCCCCCCATCATTTAGCCCGGACACTGAGGTCCACTTCCGAGGGTCTTCTGGCAGTTCCCTCATAATTACAGGGAACCAGGCAGAGGGCCTTCTTGGTAGTGCCGCCCTCCCTGTGGAACACACGCCCCCATAATAATTATTATATTAATATTATTCATTATTGTTATTATTATCATCATCATCAGATGTCAAGAGAGAAAGTAACTTTTGGAAGACCTCTGAAGGCCTTCAGGGAAATTCTTATGTTTGACATTTTACATGTTCCTTTGTCATAGAACGAAGCTGGCACCATCCATCCATTGGTTCTGGCAGGGTTCCAGTTCATGGTCAACAAGATTAAACAGATGCACGTTGGGCTGATGAGGAGGAGGTGAGGGACCAGGAGTGAGACCTTGGGGTCATGTTAGGTAACTCTGGGAAATTGTTGACCCTGTGTGCACTGGCTCGGGAAACTGCAAATCTCACGCTGGGGATGTTTAGGGAACCGATTGAAAATACACCTGCCACTATCCTAATGGTTGTAGTGCAGATCTTGTTGGCATGCAAAGGGTCGCAAGCCCAGCTGGCTAGTCCCAGGTGGGTCATCTCCCTCCAGCCGTCCCGCTGCGAAGACCCATCAGCCCCTGCTCCGATGTAAATCAGCGACCCAGGCTTCAAAGCCAGGGCACACTATATCAGCAGAGCGAACTGCAGACACAGAATAGGCGTGAGGCTTGTGGAAGCATACTACAACTACGGATTTATTAATCATAAATCAGGATAAAGAAACATTTCGTCTCTCTCTTTGTATTCTCAGAGAGACAGAGAAAAGCAAAAGCTATACGCACAACGGAAGCATACTGTGCTGGAATGTAAACAGACAGGTGACACATAACAAACCCATATCTGCTCCTTAAGGAGGAATGGAAATTCTCAACAGACCTATGGTGTGAACACATTTGGAGTACTGTGCACAGTTCAGTATCTGGGACCTTTCAGTTTGGAGAGAAGACGAGGAAGGAAGGACATGTCAGATAGAATGGAGAAAGAGGATAGAGAAAAGCCCCCCCCCCAATAAAACTAAAACTCATGGAATCCAGTGAAGCATGAAGCAGGAATGGTGGAAGATTTAGGAGAGCGAAAAGAAGGGCCCCCCCCCCCTCTCTGCATCCAGCCAGTCCATGATGGCAACAGCAACAATAAGATAATTACATCAATAGTATGCATTGTGCTCTGCTGGCAGGAGGACTCCCTCGGATCATGTCCAGTTGCAAAAGTGCAAGGAGACTTTCCACCCTCAGGGCCCAGAGGGGGATCGTGCCTTGGGGCAGCTGGTGGAATTGGAGGAAGCTGACCCTTAGCACTCTGGGTTTGGGACCTACCGGAACCTCCTTCCACATTATACTCATCCATATTGTTTCTCGTCTGCGTCATTTTGGGGATAGCATTCTACACACACTTGCGTCACCATGTGCCCCTCCCAACATTGCTCTGAGATGCTCTGGTACGGCCCCTTCTTCCCTGTGCCCCTTTCCCTCCTCATGCAAAACGTGCAGCTGGGAACAGAGCCTTTCCTGGTTCTGCCAGGGAATGCCCCTTTTATTTCTCCTGCCACCAAATATATCTATACACATTATATCTGACATAATGCATCTATAAATCAAAAGAATAGATCAGGGTTTCAAGATTACCTTCGGCATATAAGTAGGTGCTTTCAATCTTTCTGTGTCTTCATGGTTCCACTATTGCAACTATAACAATGGGAGTTATGCTGCTGTTCCTATAATATTAGTCTAACTCTGCTTCCAAAGCAACACCACCAGTCTCAGCTCCACTTTGAGCAACTCTCCATTCCCAGATATAAACATTTCCAGCTCCCTCCACCAAACACCAACACCAGCTCACTCTCAGTCCACCCTCATTCAGAAGCAACACTACAGATTCACATTAAATATTATATTATGCTTACTATTGTGAAATTCTACCTTCAATACTTTAAATAAACGTCTAGACCACGTTACAAACAACAGAAGCTCACATACGCTGCATGCAATTCAGATTGATTTCTTGTTATTGATGTGAAAGAAAGTGTCAACTTGGAGAGAACCAGGTTCTATACTCTATAAACCCTTTCTCTTCTTTGAGTTAATTCATGGCCTGTAGGTGTTACTGCTCTTAGAGCTCTTACCCCTCAGAGTCTTTTGAATGTTTTATAATACTTCCACTACAACTGAACCTCTGTCCACTTCCCTGGGACTTATATTGTTACTCCCCTGTATGAGTTTGTTGATGTTTTGTAAGAACTCCACTTGTACTGAAGCTCCTTCCACACTCCAAGCATTGAAATGGTTTCTCCGTTCTGTGAGTCCATTGATGGTATCTAAGGTGTCCGCTCTGACTAAAGCTCTTTCCACACTCCATACATTTAAATGGTTTCTCCCCCGTGTGAATCAGATGATGGTTTCTAAGGTGTCCACTCTCAGTGAAGCTCTTTCCACACTCCATACATTTAAATGGTTTCTCCCCCGTGTGAATAAGATGATGGTTTGTAAGGTGGCCACTCCGACTGAAGCTCTTTCCACACTCCATGCATTTGAATGGTTTCTCTCCCGTGTGAATATGATGATGGTTTGTAAGGAGTCCACTCCGACTGAAGCTCTTTCCACACTCCATGCATTGAAATGGTTTCTCACCTGTATGAGTCCGTTGATGAATTCTAAGTGTTCCACTATCAGTGAAGCTCTTTCCACATTCCATGCATTGAAATGGTTTTTCACCTGTATGAGTCCGTTGATGAATTCTAAGTGTTCCACTATCAGTGAAGCTCTTCCCACACTCCATGCATTTAAAGGGCTTCTCCCCTGTATGGGTCCGTTGATGTTTTCTTAGTGTTCCACTGTTAATGAAGCTCTTACCACAGTCCATGCATTTAAATGGTTTCTCCCCCGTGTGAGTCCGTTGATGAATTCTAAGGGTTCCATTGTGACGGAAGCTCTTTCCACATTCCATGCATTTAAATGGTTTCTCCCCTGTGTGTGTCCGCTGATGAATTCTAAGTTTTCCATTGTCACTGAAACTTTTTCCACATTCCATGCATTTAAATGGTTTCTCCCCCATGTGTGTCCGTTGATGTTTTCTTAATGTTCCACTATCAATGAAGTTCTTTCCACACTCCATGCATTTAAATGGTTTCTCCCCTGTGTGAGTCCGTTGGTGTCTTCTAAATTTCCCACTGTCACTGAAGCTCTTTCCACATTCCATGCACTTAAATGGTTTCTCCCCCGTGTGAGTGCGTTGATGAATTCTAAGGTTTCCACTATCAATGAAGTTCTTTCCACATTCCATGCATTTAAATGGTTTCTCCCCAGTGTGAGTGCGTTGATGAATTATAAGTTTTCCACTTCCAGTGAAGCTCTTTCCACATTCCATGCATTTAAATGGTTTCTCCCCAGTGTGAATCCATTGATGAATTCTAAGTTTTCCACTCTCAGTGAAGCTCTTCCCACACTCCATGCATTTAAATGGTTTCTCCTCCTTGTGAATCCATTGATGTCTTCTTAGCGTTCCACTATAAGTGAAGCTTTTTCCGCACTCTATACATTTAAATGGTTTCTCACCCGTGTGAATCCGTTGATGTTTTCTTAGTGTTCCACTATCAATGTAGCTCTTTCCGCACTCCATACATTTAAATGGTTTCTCCCCCTTGTGAGTCCGTTGATGACTTCTAAGTACTTGATTAGAAGTGAAGCCGTTTCCACACTCCATACATTTAAATGGTTTCCCCCCCATGTGAGTCAATTGATGACTTCTAAGTACTCGATTATCAGTGAAGCTTTTTCCACACTCCATACATTTAAAAGGTTTTCCCCCTGTGTGAGTTTGAAGATGAAAATTTAGGCTTCCACTCCTACTGAAATTCTTTCCACACTCCATACATTTAAATAGTTTCCCCCCTGTGTGAGTCTGTTGATGACTTCTAAGAATTCGATTAGCATAGAAGCTCTTTCCACACTCCATGCATTTAAAAGGTTTTGCACCTGTGTGAGTCCGTTGATGTTTTCTAAGGTCTCCACTCTGACTGAAGCTCTTTCCACACTCCATGCATTTAAAGGGTTTCTCCCCCGTGTGAGTCCATTGATGTCTTCTTAGTGTTCCATTATTAGTGAAACTTTTCCCACACGCCATACATTTAAATAGTTTCTCCCCCGTGTGAGTCCGTTTATGTTTTCTTAGTGCTCCCTTATAAGTGAAGCTCTTCCCACACTCCTCGCATTTAAATGGTTTTTCCCCTGTGTGAATTCGATGATGGATTTGAAGTGTTCCTCTATCAATGAAGCTCTTTCCACACTCCATGCATTTAAAAGGTTTCTCTCCAGTGTGAGTCCATTGATGTCTTCTTAGTACTTGATTAGAAGTAAAGCCCTTTCCACAGTCCTTACATTTATATGGTTTTCCCCCCATGTGAGTCCGTTGATGACTTCTAAGTACTTGATTAGAAGTGAAGCCCTTTCCACAGTCCTTACATTTATATGGTTTTCCCCCCGTGTGAGTCCATTGATGTTTTCTTAGTGTTCCACTGCTACTGAAGCTCTTCCCACACTCCATACTTTCAAATTATTTCTCCTCTCTCTTTTCACACTCCATACATTTAAATGGTTCTTTGTTAATCCTATTGGACATTGCCGACCAGAATTCTGACTGCCTTCTCCATTTTCTTCTTAAATGGGGGGTGGGGGAGAAAATCCTATTTATTTTCTGGGAAGAGAACAAAGGAATATTACACACATGAATTACAACCTTCACTTATTTTAACAGCTTTTACATTCTCTCCTGTCCTCCATATGTTCCAAATTTTTAGGAAATGCAAATGAAATAATGTCAAATAATAGTAATGCATCATCAACATTTCATAACCCTTAATTATAGTTAATGAAGCAGCATTATCTCAGAATACAGTAGACTTTTGGGGTTTACTTTTTACATAAAGTGGTTTCTCACAGGAAAGGGAGCTGCTCTATGTCCATGAACCTGGCCAATATTCATCAGGGTCCTAAGTTCACCATGAAGTTCTTCATCCTCTGTACAATAATCTGTTGGGTGTAGTGAAGGGTTAACTTTCTGTGCCTCGAGCCTGAGAGGAGGAGACAACAAGGGAAGTAAGCCAGGACCTGAGGAAAGCAGCTTGGAATGCTGTGTACTGAGTGGAAATCGAAAGCATTCTGTTACGACGCTGCAAGCAGAGAGAGAAGATGCAGCTTAACACGGGTGGCTATTGGAGATTGTAAATACGCTATTTTGTTCCAATAAAGAGATATTAGGACAGAAGAAACGTTTGGGACTGATTTACTGCTCTTTCAACACGCGACGGCTGTGCAACTTTGCTAATTGCTTTACGACCTGCAGAGGCTCACAGGGGAAGTGTGGCTGGGCGCCGAACAATAAAGCAATAAAACTATCGAACATAATCCTCCACCCCTTGGGCCACATTTTGTCCCCTTTGACCTCTAGATCTTTATTAATCGCCTGCACAGTCCCTTTGGCCTAAGGACTTCCATATTGACCATTTTGGGAGACCCATATATAAGTCTAGTGACAAGGCTTGGTGCTTGTGGTCGGTTGAAGGAGTGCTCAGTTGGAGAATGTTCTTGGGGTTGGACCTCCATCTCTCAGCCTTGCATTCTTGAATGGAGAGAGCTGGAGATGCAGAAGGAAAGCAGCTGGAGCCTGACTGCTGGGAAGGCCAGACTGAGACACCCACCCCAATTATGATTTATAATAATTATATGCCGCCAGGTCTCGCACCTGCCTCCTGACACTGGCTTATCTTAGTGGACATTCCCTGTCCAGGCCTCTCTCACTGTTCTTCCTCCTTTGCCGTGGGTGGCCAAGGGCTTCTGGATATTCTAGCTCTGCTCCAACTGGGAATTATTTATTAAATTGTTATACCTCTCTTCATTTGAAGATCACAAGATAAAAATATGTGTGACACTGAAAAAGGTATTAAAGGTGAATAACACTTATTGTGGGAAAGAAAAGAAAGAAGATGAAACCAGCAGTGTGTCCACCTGAATAGAAGAAACCAATCTTCAAATCAGTTTCATATTCCCTGGCTGTATTTTTCAGCCACGATAGTGACTCAGAATCTTAGCCACACCTTATTCTAGAATACCAGCTGGATCTCTTTGTAATAGGAGCCAGACATCCCTGGGATTTCATCCAGACATTCCTTTAGTGTGGGCAGCAGCAGCAGCGGAGGAAGGAAGGAATTAACATTGGGGGCAAACCATTTCCTTCTGAAGGTCTTCCCCAGCGGCCAGCAGGGTTGATAAACTGCTCAGTGTGGACACCTTGGCTTTATAGTGTTAGGGTCTGGATACCAATCACAATCCCTAGGAAATGTCTCAAGAACCCTTAAGATCCAATTTCACCAACTCCCACGTAACACTGAGCCCTAGAGGAACCTTCTATGCTGAGTTGAGGCACCTCTGGCCCTCCAGATGTGGTTGGTCTCAAAGGACCACCTGCCCAAGCAAGGATGGCCCATGGCCAGGGAGGATGGGAGTCTTATCTGGGGGGACAAACTTTCCCCTTCTTCCCCCTCCTCTGAAAACGCTGAATATCTGTATTTCGTTTCCTCCTTCCTCCGTGATCTCCAACATCTGATACAGTCCCACCAACTGCACACATTCCCAAATCATCCTGCACCACTGACTTCCCGAGGCGGCTGCATTGTGTCTTGGACACTGGCAATGGAACAGCACCTTCCACTGGATGAGAGGATAGAGGGTTAAATCAGGGCTGGCCAAATGGGACTAAGCTCCGTCCCCTCCTTGCCCCCCTCTGCATCTGCTGCCTGAGGGGGCTGCCTCAGTTTCCCTCACGGTGAAGCAGGCCCCGAGAACAGTCTTCTCTCCCCCAAAAATACAGGAAACACGACAAAGAAGGCCTTGGAGTGTCACCGTGGAACATAACAACAACAACAGGTTGTAAGTCCCTTTGGACTGCCCTGGGCAAGAGAAAGAGACTAATAGGTTTAATAAAAATAAAGGGGGGGGGACACAGGAACCCATAGCAATCTTCCCCATCCCTTAAATCCCACAGATTTAAGAGAACTGATATAGTGAGAATAATAGAAACCTGGTGGATGGAGAGGAGGAGTTGGGCGCAGGTGTCTCTGGGGAGGAGCCCTTTAGATGCTTCTGCACAGAAACACAGGCATGTGGGAGAGACTGGAGTTGCCCAGAGAGAAGCCTCAAAGGGGGGGAATAATAAAGTGGGCTTCCTCCCTTTCCTCTCCCCCCCCCCATGCGTGGACTCGCTCTAACAGCCCCCAGCGCCCCCTGCAGCTCCTGATCTGGGACCTGAGGCAGGGCAAGGACTGGGCTTCAGGGGAGGAGAGGGTGGCTGGATCGGGGCTCCTGCTCAGGGATCTCTCCCTGGTCTACGCGGAGTCATGGCAGATTCCTGGGCAGGAGGGAGAAGTCAAGGCAGGCGGCCCCCCAGTCCCTCTCTCTTTCTCCAAGATGGCTTCGATCCCTCCCCCAGGGATGCTTCCCTTCCTCCCTCCGCCCCCCCAAGGGTCCCCTTTCCCCAGAGCCCCCCCTGGCCGGCTCAGCCTTCCTGCCAAATCTCTCCCCATCCCAGGAGGGAGACGGGGGGGGGTCTCCATCCAGGCCTCTCTCGCCCCCATTAACCCTTCCATGGACTCCCCACCAAGCCAGGATCGCGGCGCCCCAGGGATTCCTGCCAGGGGGAAGCCGGAACTCGCAGAGGGGCCTGGGTTCAAGTCCCAGCCCTGGGGGGGGTCTCCCATTTTTATTGCCTCAAAGGCACCCAAGGGGGGCAGGGGAGTTGAGCATCTCTTCACAGCTGAGCATCTCCTTGCGTTGCAAAGGAGATCTTGCAGTGCAAACCCTGCCGGTGCTCCCTCTGCAGGAAGCCCCCCCGCACCCCCCCGCCGCATTTCCCATAGTAAAAGGCGGGAAGGCTGATCTGGGGGGGGGCGTGCAATGCAATCCCTGCGAATGGAGGGGCCTCGATCTTCAGCCGGATTGCATGGATCGGGGCCTCTGCTGATAGCGCCCAAGACGTGAGTTGTTATTGGGGGGGGTCTCTGCCCCCTTCCTCCCCCCGCAGCTTTACCTCTTTGTCCTCTCTGTCCCTCCGCTTCCCTCGCTCGCTATTCTTTTCCGATTTCCTTTCTCGGGGGTCTCCAAGGACGCGCCCCCTTTTGGGGAGGGGCCCCTTTCCCCTCCCCTCCGGCTTCCTTTCCGAATGCGTCTGCCCAGAGAGCTACGAAGAAGCACCGTCCCGCCGGAAGGGGGGTGGGAGCAGGCGAGGCCGGAGCGGAGGGCGGCAAAATGTGCAAGCTTCCCGCCCCGGGGTTTTCTCCCGGGAGGGGCGTCTCCTTCCCTGCCGGCAACTGAAACCAGCTCCTTCTGCCGCCTGCAAAGGAACCGAGCCGCCCCTGATGTGCTTCCCTCCAGCGAAAGCTGCAGAACCCCCCAGTCTACTGTTGTACAGGGGCGCCCTCAGCACGGGAGGGGGCAGGTGTAAAGGGACGGAGCCGAGTCCCATTTGGCCAGCCCTGATTTAACGTTCCCATTTTCCATGCACAGCAGATAGCTGGTTGCAGGCTCGTGTGAGCTTTTCACTACTATACAATTCAGCCTGTCTCAGAATAAACTATACATTCCTGTGTTAGCATTTCACTCCTCCCATTGCAAGGACCATCTGATTCTTGTTTCCTTTCTGTTCCGTGAGAAAGGAAGCCAGTCTGTGTGAATTCCGTCTCTGGTGCTATTGTACTTTTTCTTTCTGCTCCGTCTTGCGACAAGACAGGATGTCTGTATGAGGGGTGCTCCTCTCATATGTATTTGTTATGTTTTTCATCTGTAATTATTAGAAATAGGTATGCCCAGGTACCTCCTCAACTCCGTCTGCGCTGCTTTTACTCTGCTATACTGGGCGCTCACAAGAGAGCAGCTGTGAGTCCCAGAACACAAGGACCCCTTCCCGGGAATGCTGCGTAGCTGTTCCAGTGCCGGAGGAGGCCGTGGGACCTGCAAGAGTGTTCCATTATCGGTCCTGGGCCCAGACGCTGTGGGCTGTTCGCTGTGGGAGCTGTTTGTCCGGGAGCCCTGCCAGAGAGTGATTGATGGAGGTATGTGATGTGGCTGCCAAGAGGCTTCTCTGCATGCCAAGGAGAGCTAATTAGGCCTAGTATACCGAAAGGTGCCGACAAAGGTCCATATAGTTAAAGCCATGGTTTCCCTGTAGTGATGTATGGAAGTAAGAGCTGGACCGTCAAGAATTGATGCTTTTGAATTCTGGTGCTGGAGGAGACTCTGGAGAGTCCTATGGACTGCAAGAAGATCAAACCTATCCATTCTGAAGGATATCAGCCCTGAGTGCTCACTGGAAGGACTGATCCTGAAGCTGAGGCTCCAAGACTTTGGCCACCTCATGAGAAGAGAAGACTCCCTGGAAAAGACCCTGATGTTGGGAAAGATGGAGGGCACAAAGAGAATGGGGCGACAGAGGACGAGATGGTTGGACAGTGTTAAGTTGTGGGTGAACATATCAGACAACACAGCGATTCTTCAAACAGCTCTTGTTTATTCACAGGCCAGGACAGAACTGAACTGAAGGGTTCAATCAGCCTGCTTATATAGAGCTCCAGTACAATGTTACTGTAACAACTTTCTAAAACTATCCAATCACTGAACGTCACTTTCGATCCCTTATTTGCATAACTATCTACTGTATCCCCCTGCTGGCACAGGGTGAGAACTTCAGTACATAGCAGTACATGTTCTCAAAGCGACCAGCATGAGTTTGACCAAACTGCGGGAGGCAGTGGAAGACAGGAGGGTCTGGCGTGTTCTGGTCCAGGGGGTCACAAAGAGGCGGACACGACTAAACAACAACACATACCTAAAGGATCTTCACTGGCTCCCAGTATGTTTCTGAGCGTGCGCGCACACACACACACACAAATATATCTGCTTTACATTTTATAATATTCAACAACCTTAAAATATCAATGACTTCCTGTGGCGTTTGCCCTCCTAGGTGGGTCATAAGGAAAGGGTTAAATGAGTGTGAAGCGATTGGCCAGTGGGAACCCAAGGGGAGGAGTTAGAGTTGTTGAGGAGTCAGTCAGGTGTTGGAGAAGAGAGAGGGAGGACAAGTCTGTGGGTTGGTCAAGTTTTGATGTGAGAGGGTGAAAGAAACAGTTAGGAGGAGTCAGATAGACAGTTGGGAATAATCACTTAGAAGTTATTAGGAAGGTAAAGGTCAGTAAAGCAACATAGATTAAAAAACTGACAAGAAAATTTATCTGAAACCATAACCTTGTTAATGCTTATAGAATAAACTTGCTTATTTGATTTAATGTTAACAACTGTCTGGACTCCGTGTGTACCTGAGAGAAACAGGTTAGTGGCAGCGGGGAAGCAATCATAGTGGTGGCACCGGGATCAATAGACCATCAAACATGATCGCCACACTTCCCTTCCTCTCTTTCCCTGGTTCACTTTGCACAATGCATATTTTACATGAACTAAACCATTCAGTAGTCCATTATTGCACCATCAAAACTTATTTACACTGTTGAAGTTATCTTAATGCTTCCGTTATCACCTTTATTATTTATATTGGTATTAGAAGACCTAGCGGGAAATATCAGGGCAGATGAAAATATTAAAGGAATCATATAAATTGAAAGGCTATGCAGGCGATCTTGTAATTACGGTAGAAGAGCCTAAAGAGTCTCTTTAGAAGACAAAAAATCATTTCTCAAGTTACAGAAGCCTGGGTCCAAGTCCCAGCCCTGGGGGGGCCTCCCTTGTACTTCCGGGGGGGGCTGAGCATCTCCTCTCCCCCCTCCCCTGCTCTCTCTGCTATTCCCATTTCCTTCCCCGCAAGACAAAGGGCTGGGGGTCTCTGTGGTGAAATACGATATTGGGGCCCCGCTAATTGATTTATTGGTCCTCAATTAGCTATTTATGGCAGCCCGGTCCGGCGCGCTTCCCTCAGCTGCGCCACTCAGCTCCGTCGTCCGGTAGCTCCAGTCACACCTTAGCAGAGATAAACACAGCGGTGATAAACTGTCACGTCCTTTTCCCAGCTTCCAGACAAACACACACAGAGTCCAGGTTCGTCCTTTTCAGCTCTTTATTCCGACATTCCCCCAGGAATCTCCTGGGCTCCTTTCAGCCATTACCGGCTACGTCTTTCTCCCTCAACGACCAGAGGGGAACAGACAGAAACTCCTCCCAGGCTTGCTAGGCTGACGTCAGAATGCTGAGGCACCATGGGAACAACTTAACCAGTTAAGTTCCAACTCCCAACACCCCCTCTGCATCACATTCTGACAAGACCTTCTGAGTTCAACACCTTTACCTTTGCCTTGTGCCCCTTCCCGGCATCTTTCCCAGGCACCTGTTGAACCCCTTCAGCATTCCCAGAATCACACTGTGCGACACTTTTCCACGCACCTGTGACCTGATACCCTACTGACCTATCAGGGCCAGCAGTTGTGTCTTCTCCGTCAGACTCTTCCCCCTCTGACTTGACACCCCTTCCGTGAGCTTTCTCCATTACCGGAGATGTAGCCTCACACCTGGATACTCCTTTCACAACCCTTGGAGATGCCCAAACCTGCCCTGAACCCTGACCCTGGACTTGGTCCCCATCACCGGGTTTTGAACCCTGATTCTGGACCTGATCCCCGTCACCGGGCTCAGCAACAACTTCCCTTCTCCTTTGAGAAGACTTTGCACCCCGTCACCTAGTGACGTACTTCCTTTTCCTTGAAAAACTTCTCCAGAGCAGACCTAGTAAACTGTGACCCTCGGTCGCTCTTGAACCCTTGCACCCTGGTGGAGAACCTTAGTTCTACCTCCGCAACCCAATCCTTGATCAGTTGCGCCGCCTCTCCCTGTGATTTGAGAGAGAGACACCAGCCAACCTGGCTGTGGTCATCTGTCAGCGATGGCACATACCTGGCCCCACCCAGACTCTCACACCTCATGGGTCCTGACAGATCTGTGTGAACAAGCTCAAAAGCTTCCTTGGCTACCCTCCCAAACCCGGGAAAACCAAGTACCTTTGCACCTTTGCATGCCCTGCACCCTTGGGACCTCCCACATTTCCGGAGTTTGTACCCTTTTGTGCACCTGTGCAACTTTTGCACATCACTGGGAACCTTAGCACACTGCACCTGTGCTTTTTTCAGCATTCCCACCACCCTCCATAGGTGACTCCAGAACAAAGAAATTATTCTTGCTCTTCGCCATGTTGACCAGTTGTCGCCCCCCTCTGAAAATGGAACAGGTATCATTTTCAAAGCATTTTTGAACCCCTGCTTCGTTAGAGCCGATACAGATAACCGACAACTATTCAGTCCCGGCACAACGTAGACCTCTTGCTCCTCCTGTGAAGGAGAGAAAAACACGTTAGCCACAGCAGAAACCGACTTTTCATTCCGTCTGCTAATAAAACAATTGTTCCTGTTGAAAACAGCCCTGCAGTCCCGCAGTTTGCCTATCAGGTGCTGCCTGATAGCAGAAACCAAAACACCCAGCGTGTCACCGTGTCCTGGCTGGAGTTGTTCTTCACAGTTGCCATAGAAGCAGTGATAAGAAACAACCCTCCCCAGTGTCTGAGACACGTCTTTCCCTTGCGTTCCCACGCTGGCGTCCTTGGGACCTTCCTGCCCAGCTGTCTCCGCTCTCCATGGGCAGCAGCGTCGCAAGCGTCCCGCATTACACGTGTAGCAATGACGAACTCCAGTGGAAAAACACTGCTCCGGGGCTCCTCCCAGCTGGCCTCCTTCTCCTTCTTCCGGAAAAGCACTCCTTGCCAGCTCCGCCCCCTCTGAACCTCCACTCCAGTCCAGCACGTACAGTGGAAAACTTTAAACGTGCCTTTGGAAACCTTCCGCCCCCCCGACCTGCTCAGCAGCACTCCTTGTGGCTAAAGCATCAGGGACAGGGGCTCCAGCCATCTCTAGGCTTTTGTATTCCTTCTCCAGGGCTCTGGCCTGTTGCTGAAGCTTCACAGCAAACACAGCACGTTTCCAAGCAGCCCTTTTAGACTCTGCAAACCTGGCAGCAACGGCAGCAGTACCAATAGTCCCTTTGCCCCCCTCTGGGGCCCACAGCCTTTCCCAGCCGTGCACTGGCTCTCACGAAGGTGATCAGTGCCATCCTGCTTTCTGTTCTGAAGCAGCCATCTCCCAGCCCTTGCTTCCGCCTCCAGCCTCATAA